TAAATTATTCTTATGGCTCACCACAACTCCTGAAATGTTTCCCATGACACTAGTGCTGAGCCAGTTACTCCGCACTTTGTGTTTGTACCTTTGATTCTTCCCTACCAAGTTTACTCTTTATACCACCTCTATCATATTTCACCTTCTTGATCTATCTATTTAGCAAGATCATTTTGAACTCTGAACCTGTCTTGTATCACTTTCACCTCGGCCAGTCTGGGTACCCACCAAAGCCGTTCTCTGTGCTATCATGAAAATTCATACTGGATGTTCACTAGACCAGGGCAAAGATGAATCCCTTGTACCTCACCTGAGACCTCCTCTTTTAAAATATGTCATTAATAACAATTTCGGGGCTATGGTTTCTCATTTTCAAGATGCCATGCTATAGTTGAATCTCTATTTTCTATTTTTTCTGGGAGAACATCAGGCATGAGGCAATATCACTAGAGTTACTAAGTATGGATACACCAAACCTACTGCCTACTGCTGAGCCAGCTAGTTTGCCAAAGGAGAAAATCAGATTCACCTGATAAACTGATTGTAAATAACCAACTCCATAATCTCCCTCAAAATAAGAGGGAGAGCTATAAATTTCCTGTAGGAAAGAGATGTTTCTCCAGACATCTGGGACTCACCTATCCTATCCTCCACAAGTCCTCAAGACAAAAGCTTGGAGATTGCTACTCTATGTACTGTAGGATTAATTCGAACAGGCTATCAGGACTTGTGTAACCCTTCTGCCAGGTTTAGATTGTCATAAACCAGAACGGTTTCAACTTTAAAGGGGTTGCTATAAAAACACTATCCAGAAATGTGGTAAAATGAAATTTATCTTGTGCACAGCAAGCTGATTTTCCTCACCTGCAACCATGACTGAGTTGGTTTAATGAACAATATGCAATTACAAGGAGCAAAGGGAAAAAAAAAAAAGCATCAACAAGGTACATAAACAGGCTCACATACGATGTCTAATTTCTAGAGAACTATAACTATTTTACAGTCCTCGCCTCTGGTGAGCCAACTGCTAGGCCAGCTGGTAGCTCTACCCCTCCTGCTACTGCTCTTTAGTCACAGTCAGGGACTGAAAACTCTTGCTGGGAAACACGGTTGAATTCAAATGGCTGCTGAATTTTTGTGAATGCAGTTTCCAGCCTGATGACTGCCATCCTCCCTGGTGTCTCACGCTGCTCTGCAGCCCCTCTACCGCTCTCCACCCTGGGACCCCTTAGCTCTGGGTAATCCCTGCAGTTTTACTAGCAACTTCAGCCATTTCAGCTCTCAGTAAGGCTGCACACAATGTGCAAGACTAACACTGACCTCTTGTATGCTCAATTCTTGCACCTCTTGATTCTATATTGGATATTGTGAAAAATTTCTCCACCACAAGGGTTGTCAAGCACTAGAACAGGCTGCCCAGGGAAGTGGTAGAGTCACCATCCCTGGAGGTATTTAAAAGATGGGTAGATCTGGTGCTTGGTTTAGTGGGGACTTAGCAGTGTTAGGTTAACAATTGGACTCAATGATCTTAAAGGTCCTTCCCAACTTAAATGATTCTATGATTCTATTCTTAAACAGCTTCTCACACCTCACACAAACTTCTCCAGCCTTCTGTGGTTTCAAGGTCCAACTTTTGCTTTCTGGTGATAGAAAATATCATTGTGAACTAACAAAATCATACTGTCGGCATACCTATGCTAGGTCAAAAATCCCATGGATTTGCAGATGCATAGCTCCACTTGATTCTCTGCCTCTTTTTAGAAGAAATACCTCTCAATCACAACAACACATAGAAACTAAATGTTCTTCTGCTCTACCCATTTGATTCTTTGACTTAAGTCCCTTTAGAGGTGGCATCAAATATCAACTGAGCACTTCACCCCTGCTGGGCTTCCCTTTCCTCTGGATATCTGAAGGAGGCATGGTTTTCATTTCAGCCCTTTGCCACTACGCTTTGCATAACTCAGGTAAGTGTTCTTCAGCCTGCTTTTTCCCTGTCCTGTCTGTGTTCCTGGTGCTTTGCTGTTAATATTAATTGTATGAAGCACTGGGTCACAATTAAACCTTTTTATGGAAGGAGGGTAAGAGAAAGGAGAATGTATTGAAACAAAAGGACCCTTGAGGCTTTAGCCTTCTGTGTCACTCTTTACTTGCTACTTTCCCTGTTAAATAATGAGCTGAATTTTCCTTCAACTTTCTCTTACCATCTAATGTCTTTTGCAAACCCTGTTCTCCTTTCCTGTAATGTCCCCTGCTAGATCCAATTCATTTTGTATCTTTGCCATTCTTCCTAGTATCTTCATCCTGTCACAGGACAGTGATTTTCCAGACTGCAAGTTTGGCAGAACATCAGAAAAGAAAATTTAACATAATAGCTGAAGCCATCACTTGAGCAGAGTTTGTGAGCTCCAAGACTATTCCATGGTGTAAACCCAAGTGCAGTATGTGGGAATGACTTGGAGAGATGCAGCAAGAGTGCATTCCTGACCAGAACTGAAATGCTAACATAGATGCCCTCAGTAGCAAAGACAGAGGGGTTCTGCAGGGAACTGAGGGGCTATCAAAGAGATCAATGGAGTGATACAGCAGAGAAACTTACCTAAATAATAGGATTTAATTGTTCACCCCCTAAGAGCGAGTAGCAATTGAGCCACATGCAACAGAACCAAGAAGCAAGCAGGATGGAAAGGCCAAGAAAGCAGGTCTGAAAACAGCGCACATTTACCCACCACAGCACCTCACCACTGCTGCTGAGGGTTTACGTAAGTTTATTGTCATACCGCCTTCTGCCAAGGACTTCTGCCTATAATACCGATAGCTGCTAAATGCTGCTTTCTTCACAAATGTCTACTGTGTCTGGCTTGAATTTATGCTTATTGCTTACCTTCCCCCATAAGAGTTTATTTATAGCTTCCTGGTTAAGCTGCAAAGCTCAACTCGCAGGCCCAGTATCAAACCCAAAAGGCTAAGGGGGTTCCCCTTCCTTCAGTTTGGTTGGGTGGGGCTGCTCAGAGAGACAGGGAAACATCTAGCATGTAAAGGAAGGTTCTTTGACAAAAATCTGGACAAGGTTAAGTTCTGGCCTCACTGACAGAGACCCTATGACTCAACATCAATGATTATTTTTTTTCCAGTTACACTGATAGTAAGAGATGATACTTTTTTCTTACGATTAAACATTCCACATTAAAAATTTCTGTTGTGGAATGGTAGTGAAAATTATTCAGCAATGATATATCTTTACAGTCATCTTAATACCTAAAGATACATTGAATCTTATCGTCTCTTGCATTAAACTGAGTCACAAGATGTATTCAGAATTTGAGACACTATCCAACACAGCACCCCCTGCATCCAAGCTGGCAAATGTCATCTCTTTATCAAAGACACACCGATGAGTTCAGAGTTGCTGAGTTCAGTATCATAAGAATCGTTTATTAACCACACTGTAATAGATGATGTTCTGAAACTGCCCTTGATGTGATATTGCATGCTTAAAAATGATGTCTCAATCTAATTAAGCATGTGAATTTAGATGAGAAAGATGACTGCAGGTTGTGCACTTCTTCTCTTAACAATATGTTGAACTTGTAGGATCACATCTGCAATTATATGCTTGTTTTCTTGTTACCCATTACTATGTTTTGAGTAGGAATACTTTTAAATTCGCTAATGTTTTCTTTTTCCAGTTATCTAACACATTCTATAATGCTTCCCAGAACTTCCCTTGTGGGTCCAAGAAACATAGAAAAAATTCTTTATTTAAAAAACCCTCAACAATTATGGAACAATACAAACCCTTTCATTTTGTTCCATTACTCATTTTGATTTAAATTCAGGTATTTAGGCATCACATCAAGCTAAAACTCACTAAAATTTAGTGCTTGTATATATGAGAAAATTGACTTCTATAGCCATAATCAAATAATTAAACAGATTTAGTTAGGTCAGTATAATTCCCTATTTCTACTGCAGAGTAATTATACTGGAATAAAGCCACTTTAATTCCAGAATAGACTGTCCACATGGGGAGCTATATTGAAACAGCTGTAGTAAAATAATTATTTGACTACAGCTATGCCGCTTACTTCCCCCCGAAAGCAAGCCATCAACATAAAAATCTTGCCTCTTTCACAGAAGCTCAGCCATGTTGGCTCAGTCCTATTCCATAAACAAAGGCAAAGGGCTTTGCCAGCAGAATGAGCACACGATGTGGAGAACGGGAGATTTTACTTCTCGATTCAGGACTGAGTGGTGAGGTGTAGTGATGCACTTGGAGTTTTTTACGACTTAAAAGGTTCTGAGATGCTCTGGGATGTGGAATGGAGAACGTGGATAAAAAGTGTAGGCTTTTATGCGATGCACTATGTATTTTATAGAAGTGGACTATATTATAGTCCATCACAGAGGTAACTCCAAATGAAAGGAGTGGAAGATGGGCAACTGCAGCACTCTCTCCCTCTGCTGCCCGTAGATACCTCTCGCCTGGCAGGTATTGCCTCTTACCTCCACTTCTCTGCCGCAGTCTGAGGGCTTCACACTGAGAGAGCCTCTCTCTGCCTTGACCTTCCCGAGCATGGAAGCCTCAAGGGGCTCGCTCACAACTCACCTGCCACCAGGGCAAGTGCAGAGAAGTGGCTGGTCCTCTCTACTTCTTTGTACTGCTCTCAGTTATGAAGTGAGTTGAAGAGTGAACAGAGCTGTAAAATTCTGCTTATCAAACTGTGTCTTTGTTTCACTAACATTAGTTAAAATGTTTTAGTATTCTAGACTTAAAGCACAGGCTTTGACTAGTCAATTGCATACTATGTGCAGCCAATATCCAATATTTGCAGATGAAGGAATTCTTCCTTCAGCCACACAGCCACTCAGTCAGAGGTATTTCACCTCAAAGGCCCTTTAAAATTTGACTCCCCAAGCTCTCAATATGATATAAAAACGCACAGTTCTTGCAAAAGTCATTTGAACTAAAAAGATAAGAAAGCTGGGTCACAACTCACCTCGATCTGTGTCATACAGGAAGACAAAGCGGTTCCATTCATAATGATCCAGCAAGCTCAGGAGGGCTCCCCGCAGAGATGGCCGCAGCTGCAGCACAAACTGACTCTCACCCTCCGTGGGGAAACTCGGTGTAATGAGGGAGATGTGCAAGGCGCTGCAGAATGAGGTCAAGGTATGTACTGATCTCTTATCATATAGTCCAAAAATGGCAAAAACTCCTCTAGAATACTGGGAGCAAACTGGAAGAAAAAAAAAAAACAATACAGAGTTCAGCTAGTGACAAAATCTGTAAACATGTACTTACACATTCCAACATCCTCAAATTTTTAATTTGAAGATATACATTTCTGCCTGTATTTATACACAATTGTCACATGTGTTTCGTTCTGGAAACCAATAAATAAATCTTAAATAAGATTTTGTCACTTTTGGATCCTATTCATAGAACATTATATTATCTGTAGTGTTTTTACTCTAAAATAAAATATAAAATAAATAACGTATTTTTGCAAACCAGTGAAAAGTCAACATACGTTGTTTTAACCATAGCTCTGCATATTATCAGGCATTGATCATTTCCATTACCTTAAACAGAAAAGCGTTCACATTTTAAAATGTGAAAATTATCACAAAAATGTTACCAACCTCGTAAGTGAAATTTGGACATTTTGCATCGTAACAATGTAGAAGCTTCACTCCCTTTTAAGCAGGGAGCCCTTGTGCTATATTAAAACTCTACTACAGACATCGAGTAAAAACCTGCTTCATGAATAATCTCCTTGACTTTAAGAAAGCAGTTGAAGGAAAACATAGTAAGTCAATGTGAGCAGACTTTTGCCCCAAACTTTTTATTTCTACTCTGTGTCAACCTCAAAATCAGAAAACAAATGACCTGAACATATATTCTAAGTTTTGATTTGCTCTTGGACTCATTTAAGACATAGAGAAAGACTTTTATTGATTTCAGCAGACTGGGTAAGGGCTTTACTGATCTATGCACATAAAAGCAGGCATAACGGTATTTTCTTGAGGAAATACTGCCTTTCTAGCAACTCATAAAGGGCCCAATGAAAAAATCCCACCTTTTCTGAAGTACAAACCAACTTACTAGAACTGTGAGATCATTAATAGTGTTACCTATTCCAGAATCACATAAAATGGAGAAAGGAACAGTCAGTTATGGGATCATATTATCCATTTTCTCCTAAGTATATATTTCCTATGCTCTCCTGTTCCAGATCCTCCCTCCTCACAACCCATTCTTACATATAGCCTAAACATGGGAAAACCAAAGTCACACCGTTGTAACTAGATGGTGGCCTCCTTTCTTCTAGCCTGGAGGTCACAGTCATCCTGTGAGAGCAGCAGTCAGGGTACAGTGTACACACTTAGAAAATGGGCTGATTCAAACCACTTCACTTTTATTCTTTCATAATACATTTACTACATAAAGAGCAAAAAATACAAATCGCGCATTTTTCTCCTTAGACTTGAGTGGTTTATCCAGTTCTGATGCCAGAACTGGAAAAGTGGCTTGAGGGCAGTTCTGTGATTTTATGTGCTGCCCCACTGTTACAGCCCTAACCTAAGGATTTTCATAGCCAGATTATATATAAATTAATATTTTCAAAAAGGTTTCTTCCTTCCCCTAAGTACCCCTTCAATATGTTGATACGTAGCTCTTACAAACCCTCTTAGTGTTTTCTTTGCTGGACCACACTACATACGTTCTCCTAGACCCATCAAATGACTGGCTTGCCATTCCACTAATCATCCTAAAAAGTGTTGTTCTGTGCTTTCCCAGTTTCATGTTTAGAATTTCAGTTGAAGGCTTTCTGCTTCTTTTTATATTACCACCCCATCTCTACTGTAAAATACTTCTGCTGACATATCCTAAGATCACATTGCATTTTTCTAAATCTGCTGATTTATCATCTCAGGATAAAAATTCTGCTCCTTCTTCCTTATGAGCCATTTCCAAATGATGAGTTTCTGCTTATAGCATAATATTTTTATTAGTCACTGTTACTCATTTTTCATTATGTCACATCTATTACTGTACTCCTCAAAATTATTTACTTCCACAGTTACATTCTTAGCCTGCTCTGAAGTTCTATTGATGTCTGTATGTGTCCCATCAGCAAGTTCCATCAAGGTACTCTGACTTTTATCCCTGTGTCTACCGTAAAATCAGTCTCTTTCTTAGTATCTTCCACCTAGAGCTATGCTTCTCCAGCCTGATACCTCCCCTCCTACCAGCATTTGTGGCCATCTTCCCCTTAGTTTCATGCCTATCTTCTAACTCTCCTATTTTACTTCATTCTCTTGGCAACTGGAAGATATGGATTAATCCCATACCTTCTACCTTAATAACTTCTTGTTGTATTTTATGCCATTTTCTGTCTATAGACATATTTTAAAGCTTTCTTTCTATCAAAATCTGTTCTATACCTTTACTGTCTATTGATGTTAAGCTGCTACGTCCATGGGTGCCAGATTCTATGCCCCCTTTAAAAAGAGATATTATGTTTCCTATTCACTGATGATATGTATCACAACTCATTTAAGAGCTCAACTAAGAAGCATTTGTTTTTGCATGTGTCCTTCAGCAAACCAATTATTTAAGAATCATGGAAGAAAGAGGTGATTTCCCTATTCCCATTAGCCATCATGCCTCTTTTAAGGTCAACGTCTTTCCTGAGTGAAAATCAGTGCGAAGTATCTATTAGTTTTACGTCTCTAACCAGATTTTCCTGGTTTTCTGTCCCATCATCAATATATAACAGCTTCAATAAATTTCCTATTTCCTGTCTTTGTATTTAAAGATGTAAATGACCTACTATTATTTTACTGTTCTTTGCAAGTTTCAGTTTTCACTGGCAGCCCTAACTTAGGCTCTCATTTATGCAACAAATGTCCTCTATACCTCCTGATTTCTTCAACGCAATCTTTCTTACTAATAACCCTTTCTAAAAACTTGTTTCTTACATCTTTCTTGCATAATCATTCATTCAGTTCTGGAGTCATATCCTGCACGTTACTTTCCCCTGCAAAGGGATTTCTCAGTGTTTTAGAAGTGTGGCTGTGAGGAAATGGCGGGCCTTCTCTATTTTTAAACACAGTCCAGTTAACTTTGCCAACTGAAATAGTTGAATGTAAACCTTGTGTACATAAGCGGTAGTTACTTAATGTGTTTTCTGTTTAGAGGAAATCCTTGTTAAGGCCCTGCATTGCCTCACTTTGCAGTTTTACATGAGCAAAGGGTACTTTTTGTAACACAGTCCATACAGTAGGATTCTACATGATGAAAAATTCAAGAAATCAATGTCAAGTTGTGAAATTGTACACTTAGTGGAGTTAAAGCCCAAATTCATTCTCAGGATGGAGAAAAAAAAAAGAGAGAAAAAAAACCAACTTAAAATTTCATTAAATAACATGATGTGACCCTAAAATACTTTTAACTAAAAATAACATAATAATAATTCTTTGTGGTTTCAAAGCAAACTATCCTTGCCACAGCCTAGATCCAAATGCAATAAAACATCTGACTATCATTAAAGTCTTGAAATAACCAATCCAAGAAAACTACTTGAGATCAAGACTGGGAAGTTACTGAATAGTGTCCTTCTTTGCTCCTTCATAAGAAAACATGCTAAGATGAAGGTTTCGAGAATTTTTTCTTACTCACTTCCATACCCATAGAGAGGAAAAATGCCTGTGACACTATGGAGATTAGGCTTAAACATATGCAGAGATGCTGCAACGTTCCTGAATCAATTTTAGAGTAATCAGCAGCGACCACAAAAAATCAGCAAAGCCATGAGGATTTGCATTCTGACTCACTACTGTTCTCAGAAAATGCCTCCAGGCAAACATGACTACCTGGATTTCCCAATTCTTTATCTGTTTCTTTTACATTTCTACAGACATTTTACTTATTATAAATGGACTAAATTATGCTTGGTAAAACACAGTCTTACATTAGCATTCTAAGAAACTTTTGTTCCAGATTTTTTCCCCCCATAAATATAAAGCAGTGACAAAAACACTTTTATAAGCATACTTTGAAATATATTGAATAATAATTTGTCTTTAAACCAGACACCTCTTCGTAGCTGACAACTTAATTCCAGTATTACACATATGATTTTCTCCTGCAAATTTTGCAATGCCATTGGTCTCACCAAACATAAGATGAATGTGGAGGTCAGACTCCAGAGAAGACATTGCAATGCACCTTAAATAGCCACAATAATGTCATTGTAGTAGCTGCAATATGAATTATATATGTTCTGTTCTAGCAGATTGAACTATGTGATAGTACTATCACTTTAAAAGACTATATGACTCTTGGGACCTTCAGTTAAAAAATCATAATGCCAAAATAGCAAAAATCGTATGCTGCAGGATTTACTGAGACACACAATCAAGCCACATGCGATCTTAGTTCTCTGTGAAAGAAAGACTTCTCAAATTCCCTGTTGTTATTCTAAAGACAAGTCCCACACTTTAAACACAAATCTTTTCTTAAAAAACAAAAAGCAAAAAATCCTAACTTCTTGTTGTTCACTGATTTCCAGATGTTATGCCCATATAGTTTAAATCCTCTAAACAGGCACAGGGGAAGTCAGAATTCAAAATACAGCTGTAAGCATAACCATGAAAATGACACAGAAGAGGTCAAGCAAAAGTTTGTGAGAAATGTGTATGTACAAATACACATATCTGCACACACATTTACATGATATCAGTCTTGTGTTATTATTTAGTTTCACCCAAAAGTTTTATAATTTCTTAAAGAGAAAAATAAAACACTACCCTAACAATATATTTACAAAATGAAATCTGGTAAGTAGAGCACAGCTGGTCTGCCAACAGCACTAGTTTTGCTCAGCAGCCTATATGGTACTTACACCATATAGGTAGAAATCTGGAAGGCCCACAGTCTAACACCAAAGTAACATGGTAGATCATGACTCACAGACCTTGAGTCTTCCAGGACACAAGCTCTGGAACAAGCATTTTTAAAATGCTTCTCCAGGTTTTAGGCTCCTGCGTGGGAAGCCCTGGCACAGCTGGCTGTTACAGATATATTGACAGGCCCACTGATCTGCCATAAACTCACAAACTGTAGAAGCTCCAAAACTGAAAGATTCAAAGCAGTTTGCGTTACGGAAGTTTTCCAGATATGAGCACAGTCTTTCATTGTTGTCTCTTCATTTCGTCCTATGCTTTGGAG